AGATGTCCATGATTAGAGAACAAGATTCCTTTCCTAGGATAACTCTTTAAGTATCTCAGAATTCTATTCACAACATCTAAGTGGCTAGTCCTTGGGTCATGCATATATCTACTTACGACACTAACAGCATACACAATATCAGGTCTTGTATGTGATAGATAGATTAATCGCCCAACTAGCCTCTGGTATTGGTGCCTATCAACGGGATCACCACCATCTGCCATGATTCGATAATTCTGTTTTATTGGAGTAACTGCAGGTTTACATCCTAGCATACCCGTCTCCTCAAGTAAATCAAGCACATATTTTCTTTGTGAGAGATAAATACCTTTTGGGCCATATGCAACTTCAATGCCCAAGAAGTAGTGAAGATATCCCATGTCCTTGACTTCAAATGACTTTGCTAGCATCTTATTCAAGTGAGATATCTCCACCTCATTGTTGCCTGTAATCACAATGTCATCTACATGAACAAGAAGAATAGTGATCTGATCATGCTGACATTTAAAGAACAGGGTATGATCTGCATTGCTTTGCCGATACCCCATGGAACATATTTCCTTCTTGAACCTTCCAAACCATGCCCTAGGAGACTGTTTCAGTCCGTAGAGGGATTTTCTTAACCGACACACTTTACCCTCTGTTTCCTGGCTACTAAACCCAGGAGGAATTTCCATATAAACCTCCTCTTGCAGATCTCCGTGAAGAAAAGCATTTTTAACATCCATCTGAAACAATTTCCACTTATGATTTGCAGCTATCGACATTAAAGTCCTGACAGTACTCAATTTTTCTACCAGAGCAAACGTTTCACCATAATCCACCCCATAAGTTTGACTGTACCCTTTTGCCACTAGTCTAGCCTTATATCTTTCCACCTTACCGTTTGGAACTTGCTTAATTGTAAATACCCACTTACAACCCACAACTATCTTATCTACAGGTAGATAAGTAAGTACCCATGTTTGGTTCTTATCAAGAGCTGCCATTTCTTCCAACATTGCTGCCCTCCATTCTGGATATTGCTTCGCTTCCTACCAGTCACGTGGTATAGGTACAGCGGAATGCAAGGAAGCTATAAATGACTTATATAGGGGGCCAACAGAAGAGTATGAAACATAATTAGAGATATCATATGGGGCAAATTTAGAGGGCAATTTTCCAGCAGTAGTGCGAGGTTGCTTTCTATTAGCAATATGAACATATAAGTCATCATAAGTGAGAGGAGGTGTACCATCGCTTGTGGAGAATGGTAATGGAGTATGAGGTGAAGTTGATGGTTGTGAACTTGAATCATGCATGCCGGATTGAATTTTTGCTTCTGAATCATCCTCCCCTAAACTGATTTCCTCCCCTTGCACTTGTTCTTCCTCAGGTTTACGTCTTCGTGTATATACCTGTATATTTTGTTCTTCATTCGGCCTTGACCACCGTATAGCCTCAGCTGATGTATCTTGTTGCTCCCCTTGCATCTGCTCTTGTCCTCCTCTAAGATCAACATCTCTATCATCATTCCCATCCTCAAGTGGTATTGCTCCAACCACCACTTGCTTTGATGGCGTAGAGTTGCTCTCTTCTCCTTTTTCTCCCCCTGCCTTGTTGCCCGGGTCTGAAACATCACTAGGAAACAGATCAGGAAATACATCAGTTAAATCTATAGGTTCTCCATAAAATGGTATGTGTTCCCTGAAGATTACATCCATGCTCACGAACATTCGGTTTTCTGATGGGCACCAACACTTATAGCCTTTTTGCTTCCCAGAATACCCCACAAACACACACTTCAAAGCCCTTGGATCTAACTTTCCAATAGATGGCCTGTAATCTTTCACAAAACACATACACCCGAACACCTTTGGCGGAACAACATAAGAAGTCTTGCATGTTAAACACTCTATTGGCGTCTTTTACCCAAGGACTCTATGGCATTCTATTAATTAGGTATGCTGCTGTCATTACTGCCTCATTCCATAAGAACATAGGAACATTCATAGCCATCATCATACAGCGGGTTACCTCTAACAAATGCCTATTCTTTCTCTCAGCTAAGTCATTCTGCTCAGAGGTAACCGGACAGGTAGTCTGATGCATTATTCCAAAGCTCGACAAATAACCATCAAACTCCCTATTTATATACTCCGTGCCATTATCAGTCCTAAATACCTTAACACATGCATCATACTGAGTCATAATCATATTATGAAAATCTCTAAAGCACTAAAATACATCATTTTTGTTCCTCAACACATACACCCAAGTGGTCCTAGTACAACAGTCAATAAAGGTAACGAAATAATGATATCCATTGATAGACACTACTCCACTAGGACCCCACACATCAGAGTGTATTGTCTGAAGTGGGACATCACTTCTATGATCAGATAGAATATAAGTGCTTCGGATTTGCTTTCCATATAGGCAAGCATCACATACCAAGTCCTCCTTTCTAACTTTATTAAAGAGATTAGGATAAAGCTGACCCAGAATAACAAAAGATATATGCCCAAGTCTTCGGTGTTGTAGCATAAATTCTTCAAGTGGTGAAGAGGATAGAGCAGCAGCGACAGCCGGTGATGTATTATCATCCAAATAATACAATCCATCATGCATGCTCCCTGTCCCAAGTCTTCTTCCAGTCCCAAGTTCCTGAATTAAACACCATGATGGGAAAAAGATGACAACACAATTCAGCTCACTTGTAATGCAACTTATAGACAGAAGGTTAATTGGAAATGAAGGAACATGTAGCACAGATGAGATGGGCATATTAGAGTTACACATGAGTGTCCCTGAACCCATAATAGTTTGTGTGGAACCATCAACCAACTTTACACTTTGCCCTCTCAATTCACGGACATAATTAGTAATTTTCTTGTGTGAACCAGCCATATGTCTAGATGCACCAGAATCTATTAACCATGGTGCATCACGAAAATTAGAAGTATGAGCATTAGGAATGTTACCACTAAAATTTGCAGATGCGACAGAGGATGGTGTTGTGGGCGCTTCAGTAGTTTGCTTATCACCTAACCTCAACCCTTTAAATTGCTGCCACTTCTCCCAGTCATCCGTGCTCATTTCCACGTTCACATTTTGAGAGTGTTCATCTACCATAACTAAGGCATTTGCCCTGCCTGTGGCACGACCACGACCAATACCGCCCATCAAACCCCCGTCCACGACCTTTGCCGCGCCAGTTTTGACCTCTTCCACGTCCACCCCCAAAAAATTGATGACAAGATGATCTTATATGCCCTGGCTGGCCACACTCAAAGAAATTTCGTTCGGACGTGTTCAACCCAAACCGCCGGTTATTTGCATTTTCTGTGACAAGAAGGGCTGAACGCCTCTGTGCTATGCCCTGCATAGATGGTCCTCCAACCTCCAATTTCAGGCGTGTCTCCTCACTAATGATTGCAAATATCGCTTGCTCCAAAGGAGGTAACTTGCCACTGCCATAAAGTGCTGCCCTCCTATTCTCAAATTTGGGATTAAGTCCATTCAGAAAATCCCTAACACGCGTTCTCTCTGTCCATTTGTTGTATTTTCAATACATTTTCCACACTCCATCTCGATTGGATCATACTAATCCAAATCGCTCCAAAGTCGTTTTAGTTCAGAAACATAGTCAACCACCGTCTTCTCGCCTTGTCACAAATCTTGTAACTCCTTCTGAATCTTACAAGCAAGCATTTCGTTTACTACTCCTGAGAATGTCCCTTTCAATAACCTCCAAATTTCAGAAGCTTCTTTAATCCTTTCTACTTGTTTAGCAATCTGAGGTGATAGAGAGCTCAATAACCACACCCTCACTAGTGCATTTGTCACCTTCCACTTCTAACCTTCTTTGGAACTCTCATCCATAGACTTCTCCACCGTGCCTAGAATGTTAGCTTCAAGCTTCCTGGAAACCAAGATGGTCCCTGCATGCTTTGCCCAACTCACATAATTTTCTGGTCCTTCTAATTTTACATGGGGCATTTGCAAAGGATGTATCTCCTCTTTTGCCTCCACTTCTGATCTTGAGTTCCCTGCTTGCTTGCTAATCGCATCAAACAACACCTGATATTTCTCATCCATGGCAACAGCAGCAAGCTCCCCTGCTGTGACTGCCCCTGGAGCACTACCATTGCCTGCCATATATTCAATTCCTCCACACTCAGCAGCAGCAGTGCTCAATCTCTCTTCTTTACAAACTCTCTGCTGCTCTCTACTAGAGACCACACAACAGCAGCCCTCAATCTCTCTTCTTCCTCCCCAAATCTGCAGCAGCAGTCCCCTATTTCTCCAAATCGAAACAACAACAACCTCCTACCTTATGCTCCTCTTTTCTCTGGTCCAGGGACCCCTGCAACCTTCTTCAGGTAGCCCCGATTCGACTCCCCACCCCGTACTGGGTCTCAATCCCACTGCCTTCACCTCCCGAACGCCCAGCAATGTCCACACGAGCGTCACCGGGATGGATCTTGCCAAAGCTCTGATGCCACGTAGATTCACATTCACTGGATCCTCTCCAAGATTAGAGTTTGGAGGAGAAGAAGGGAGAAGAGGGGAAGAGTACTCTGGAAGTTTTGGTCGGGAATAGCAAAACTCTAGATTCACTCTCCTGTATAGAATATTTACAGAGTTGCAACTTTACACATAAGACCTCTAGCTATCCTATTTTTGCAATACAAGGATCACCAACATAATATAAGAGCGTTTTTAATATTATAGAGGGATAACGAAATCCGAATAGACTTAAACTCAGTAAAACTGTTTTTCTAAACAAACTCGGCGTACGTGATTACCTTAATTCCATACGAATACGGTTGTGTGGGGTTAAGCGCTACTTTTGCCTTTGCCGTAAAGTCGTAAACCAAACCAAATTGACTTCAGGAAAAACCACGAGTTGAGCAGAGCCAGCACCAAACCAAACCCTCGTCGCGCTCGTCCCCTCCCCCTCTCGTGCTCTCTCACCCCGGCCAGCGGCATCTGAGATTCGCGCCTCGCCGGCGGCCATGGGCGGCGACTGGCAGGAGCTGGCCCAGTCGGCGGTCATCGGGCTCATCTTCGCCTTCCTCGTCGCCAAGCTCATCTCCGTCGTCCTCGCCTTCAAGGAGGACAACCTCCGGATCACCCGCTCCGCCCCCGACCCCGCCCCCTCCTCCTCCCCGGACGCCGCCGCCCCCGCGCTCGACGGCGGCGACGGCGACGGCGACAGCGACAGCGACGGCGACTGGGAGGGCGTGGAGAGCACGGAGCTCGACGAGGACTTCAGCGCCGCCTCCGCCTTCGTCGCCGCCTCCGCCGCCGGCGTCCCCGAGGAGGCGCAGCTCCGCCTCTATGGCCTCTACAAGATCGCCACCGAGGGGCCCTGCACCGCGCCGCAGCCCTCCGCCCTCAAGCTCAAGGCCCGCGCCAAGTGGTAGGTTCCGCCCCCCTTGCCTCGCTCGATTCCTTGGAATCTGGATCCACCTTCTGCCACAGTTGGGTTTAGCCTTATATTTTCTAGGGGATAGGGGTTATGAGGTGGGTTGGATATGATCAATGTCTAAATTTAGCTTGTGTTGCTACGGGGACTGCCGATGGGATGTGAACTTTGGTGTGATTTCTGAGTCGGACCGACCACGAGAGATTGTTCATGATTAGTATATATCCCCAAGTTCAACTTTTGCTAAATCCTAGCTAGAGTTGTTGATAAATACTTAGAATTGGTCCAATGGTTCTCTAGGTTTGGTGTACAGGATTTATCTCTAGGTTGTCGATGGGTTTCGCCAATTGATTGTGTGTTTGCATTGCCTGCTCTTGATACTTTACTTTAACATGAGCATCCAAGTACTTACATTTATTGCAACTGATCTAAATCCAGTAATATCATTTGTGATCATGGCTGCATAATTATGAGGGCTTAAGAGTTTCACTTTGATGATGATGCCCTTTGCTGCTTTGGATTTTCATATATGAGCATCGGAACTCAGGCATCTATTATTTCACAGTGAACATGTATTAGCAATAGACCTTTTCGGTTTTGCTCTGCCTGTGCTTCGCAATTTGGTAACTGTATCTAGGTTCTTGATTGGCTTCACTGATTGATTGGTTGTTTGCATTATCTGTTTGTGATACTTTCCCCTGAACATCCATGATCTATATCGAGAATGTTACTTTTGAATTCTGATTATGCCGAATAGTTGTGTAGGGGTAAGAATTTTCACTTTGAAGATGCCTTTGGTGCTCTGGATGTTCCAATATGAGCACCAGAACTTAGACGTCTACTATTTGCATTGAATACATATTAGCAGTTGACCTCTTTGCTTATGCTCTGTCTGCGCTTCTCAATTTGGAAAGTCAATTCAGTTTACCTAGTACCTTATTGATTGAGCACTTACTAGGTAATTTTAGCCTATATTACTAGGTAATTGCCATCCGGATGTGAAGTGCATAACTAGTATATCCCCAAGTGCATCTGGTGCTAGCTTCCTAGCTATAGTTCTTGTTAAGACCGAGAGCTGGTCCACTGGCTCAGTAGGTTTGGTTCACAAGCAAGCCTCCTCGTGCTAGTTTATGGGTTCCCTAGGTTCAGTTACATGTATGATAAATTGGTAAATTGTCTCTAGGTTTTTTATGGGCTCCGTCAATTGCTTGCGTGTTCCATTGACTGTTAGTGCTACTTTAACCTGAACATCAAAGTGCTTATATTCAACGCAACTGATCTATATCCAAGAGGACCAAGAATGCCGTTTGTGATCAGGCTGCATAGTCGTGTAGGGCTTAGAGTTTTTCATTTTGGTAATGCCCTTTAGTGCTCTGGATTTTCATATATGAGCACTGGAACTAAGACATCTATTTTTCATAGTGAAACATGTATCAACCTTAGACCTTTAAGCTTTCGCTCTGTCTGTGTTTCTCCATTTGGTAATTGTCCCTGGGTGCTTGCTTGGCTTCACCAATGGATTGAATGCTTGTGTTATTTGTTTGTGCTAATTTTGCCTGAGCATCCATGACCTATGTCCAGGAATGTCACTTGTGATAATGCTGAATAGTTGTGTAGGCCTTAGAATTTTCACTTTGAAGATGCCCTTTGTTACTCTGGATATTCCAATATGGGTACCAGAGCTCAGACGTTTACTGTTTGCATTGAACATATATTAGCAGTAGACCTGTATGTGTTTTTCTCAGTTTGGAAAGTCAATACAGTTTACCAAGTATCTTTGTTGATTGAGCACTTGTTTGCTAGGAATGCTTGGAATAAATTGGGTGCTATGCCAACAGAAGAAGCTATGGAGGAGTACATAACAATTGTTGATGAGATATTCCCTAACTGGTCTGATGGCTCAGTAAGTTTTATAATTCCACCTATGGCCACATATTCTTTACCATTTTTATAGGAATGTACATCACAGTGTTTGCTCTGTTTGATATAATCTGTTTGACATGATTCCAGAAAAAGAAAGATGGGGAAACCACAATGTCTGCATCAGGTTCGAAGGAACCAATGGGACCTGTATTTAGCAGTTTAATGTACGAGGAAGATCAAGGAAATGAATCGTAAGTCTTTCTACAACAAGGACACACCTTACACCTCCTCCCTGTGCATTAATGCCGCCTTGATGGTGTGTAGCCAAGTTCACCTAATGCTGTATAGTATATTTCTTTTGCTAACTGATAGAACATAGCAAATAAAAGTGAGATGATTCATTATTTGGTATGCAGCTAGTTTGTCTCCATCATGCTGCAAAAAAGTTGTATTTATTCATATAATCCATTTAGTACTTTGCCTGAACTAGTGTTTCTAGGATTACAATGAACTGGTTTGTACCTGCAGAGAACTTGGTGACATCCATGTTTCTGCAAGGGAAGGTGCAATTGATGACGTTAAAAAGCATCTGTCTGCAGGTGTACAAATCAACATAAGAGGTTTGTGTTTGTAGAACATCCATCTTTCTGTTCTCTATGTAGCAATGACTCATTTACACATACTTTGGTTTCAGATAGCGAAGAGAGAACTCCGTTGCACTGGGCTGTGGACCGGGGTCATCTAGATGCTGTCGAGGTTCTTGTCAACTCAAATGCAGACGTGAATGCTCAGGTATCTGAATTTGTCGTGTACCCTTTATTCACTGCATTTTGAAATTTCTAGGCAGTTTGGTGAGTGTATTTGAACAAAAGAAACTTGTGGTAACTCTGACCAAGTATTTTTAGTGGGGCTTGCATCACAAGCTGTACCAAACCGACAAAATGTCGGATGTTTGTTACATGTCGGCAAGCTGTCAGCCTGCAACATTCAACCAGCTAGCTAACTGCTTAAACAGTCGGTTCAGTTCATCTACTACGTTAGACCCAATTTAGTATCAATATCGTACAGCTGCAGTGTGCAGAAGCAAACCTTTTGCGACCTTCAGACACTGAACCCTTGTCTCTCCATGTCCAGGACAACGAAGGGCAGACCGCGCTCCACTACGCCGTCCTCTGCGAGAGGGAGGACATCGCCGAACTGCTCGTCAAGCACCACGCCGATCTCCAGATCAAGGACGGCGATGGGAACACCGCCCAGGACTTGTGCTCCTCGGCCTGGCCTTTCATGAAGCCGGCAAACTGATGGCACAATGAACCCGATGATACGTTGACGCCTGCTGCTACTACTACTAGTGCCGAGAAACTATACACACCGTGCTTGATTAGCTGAATCGGATGAGCCGTTTTACCAACCTCATCGAATACACTGTCAAAAGGTAACTCAGCGCAGGGTAGACATCTTGTAGTAGTGTTTTGCCTGTTTCATACGGTTTTTAGTGTGTTTGTGCTGCAGGCCAACTGTTTGGCAGGAAACATATCAGTGTCAGGATTCAGGTCTCGTGGCCTCATACTGTCAATATGCATACATCTTAAGAGCATCTCTAGCGGATCCCTTAAAAGTCGGTACTGCAAAAACAGATTAAGGTATACTGCAAAACGATTTTACGGTATCGCGGGAGCTCTGGTAGAACAACAGATCCTGTGAAATGCGACGGTATGCCCTGACCTGCAGGGGGAGGTGTTTGCCAGACCCAGCGACCTCCATCTCGACGAGCACGTGGCTAGTGGTTGTGTTCACGTCGAACTGGTTCGCGCGCCCGGCCATGTACTAACGCCGTGGCGCCTGTGCGAGCAGCCGTCTTCCGCTGGGAGAACGTGTCGCCGCTGCCCGTCAATGGCGTCCGCCTCCCTGAGCTCCTGCTCTTACGCCGCAATTGACCAAAATCGGTTGGAATCGGGGTTGATCACCGGAAATTGGAGGGGATTTGGCCAGAATCGGAGCACCTTGGTGGAATTTCGCCGGGGCTCCGGCGAGTCTGGCGCCAGTCTGGTGATGGTTGGGCTGAAATTTCCCTCCGGCCAACCGTCGTCGGCTTTTCAGTTCACCCCAAAAATCTAACTAAAAAACTAGACATCTTGGGTACGATGGGTTTTTTACGGGGAGCTCAATAATTTTTTTTCCAGTGCCGACCGTTTTGCAGGATCTGTTTTTTTTTTCGGCCCAAAACCACAAAATGGTGTTTTTTTACAGTTTCAGGCCTTTTATGAGATTTGCTAGAGATGCTCGAACGGTCCTTGTCTGGGAAAATCTCCTCCGACTAGAACATCCGTAGATGTAGCATTACTCATATTTATTTCACCCCTGCTCCTACATTTATTTTAATAAAGCATGCTTTATTGACTCGTAATGCATCAAGCGAATATACAAACATAAAAGAGTACACCGGCCTTTGCACAATTAAGATGCATACAACGAATACCAACACACAAAAAAACACGCCTACAAATAGTGAAATCATACAAGACCGAAATTATTTCTGGCGTAGAAACAAAAAGGAAAATAAGAGCCCCGAAGTGATCGACAAATACAATTACCATCGATACCAACCATCTCAGGACTACGATAAATATTGTTCAATAGCAATGCATTTGAAAGAGAACAACTCATAAGCGTCGCCGTCATTAGATCCAACCAACAAAGGCCGAATCATGAGTTTTCACCCCAAAGATCAAGTACGAGAAAACTCCAAGCAATGCAACAAGGCAGTGGGCAAAACACCGCCATTGCATCTACTGAATCTGACAAACACCATCTGGAAAATTGAATTTGTTCTTGTAAAATTATTTTCCAAAATTGTCTAGCCAAACAATGCATGATGTATTAATAAACCAGACAAACAATAAACATGACTATGGGCGTTCGTTAGTCGGGGCATACGTAATTCAATCCTAATCCTACTAAAGCTTTAAGAAGAAAAAAAAATCTACTGTAGCTACTAGTACTGAACTGTAGAATCCTAGAGCTCGTCGTGTTCATCGTCCTCCTCGGCGGCGTCGTCATGGCCACCGCCAGTGTTCCCGTAAGCGGCGGCGAAGGCTGGGCTGCAGACATCCTCCAGCTCCTTGAGCTTCTTCGCGTAGCAGTCCTGGTCAGCATCCGGGTTGGCCTCGAGCCACTCGCCGGCCTCCCTGGCCGCCTCCCTGACCCTCTCCCTGTCGGCGCCGTCCATCTTGGCCCCCAGCTCGCTGTCGGCTGTCGTCTGGGCACTGTAAACATATGCCTCCAGCTTGTTTTGCGCGTCCACCTTGTCCCTCACCTTCCTGTCCTCCTCGGCGAACTCCTCCGCCTCTTGCACCATGCGCTCGATCTCCTCCTGGCTGATGCTACGGCCGGCACTGCTGATCTCGATCTTCTCCGACCGGCCGGTGCCCTTGTCCGCCGCCCCGACGTGCAGGATGCCGTTCACGTCCACCTCCAGGGTCACCTCGATCTGCGGCGTGCCCCTCGGCGTGGGCGCGATCCCGGTGAGGTCGAACTTGCCCGTCCTTTGTCATGCTCCGCTCGCCCTCGAACACCGTGATGGTCACCGTCGTCTGCCTGTCCTCATAGGAGTAAATGGCACCGGCGGTCCGAGAACTTGCGCTGTGGGTGCACTTAAATCACGGTACTTGCAAACCGGAAAAACCCGTCATAGAACTTACATTACGGGTGCAGATAGGTCACACAGGTCATCTGAACCGGCCAACTGCCCGGTTTTCTCCCTCTAACGATCAAGCGCGATAAATTTGTTCACGACTTTAAAAATATATGTGATTCGTGACTTTAAAAAAATGTTCATGAACGATAAATTTGAAAACTATTTGTTCACGACTTTAAAAAAATGTCCGCGAACGTTTCAAAAAATATATTCATGATCCGTGACTTTAAAAAAATGTTTGCGAACGATAAATTAAAAATATTTGTGATTAGTGACTTTAAAAAAATGTCCAGGAACGAAAAATTTGAAAATGTTTTTGAATGATAAATTTAAAAATGTTCGTGAATGATTAATTTGAAAACTATTTATTCACGGCATTAAAAAAAGGTTGACAACGATAAATTTGAAAAATATTTGTGATTTGCGAACATTTGTTTTAAGTGGTGAACATTTAAAAATGTTTGTGATTCGTGACTTTAAAAAAATGTTCTCGGACGATAAATAAAAAAATATTTATTAAAAATATTTGTGATTCGTGACTTTAAAAAATGTCCAGGAACGAAAATTTTGAAATGTGACCTATCTACACCCGCAACGCAAGTTCTATGACGGGTTTTTCTCGAAAATAGGACAGCTGGCCGGTTCAGATGGCATATGTGATCTATCTACACCCGCAATGCAAGTTCTATGACGGGTTTTTCCAGTTTACAAGTACCATGACTTAAGTGCACCCGCAGCGCAAGTTCTCGGACCACCAGTGCCATTTCTTGGTTCTCTTGGTCGGGATCGGCGTGTTTCGGGGGATCACGCTCGCCATCACGCCGCCAGCCGTCTCGATGCCGAGCGTCAACGGCGTCACATCCAGCACCACAACCTTCTTGGCGTCGCCGCGCACGATGCCGCCCTGCACGGCCGCGCCATAGGCGACGGCCTCGTCAGGGTTGACGCCCTCGTGGGGCTCCTTGCCGCCGAAGTAGTCGCGGAGGAGCTGCTGCACCTTGGGGATCCTGGTGCTGCCGCCGACCAGCACCACCTCGTCGATGTCGCCCTTGGCCAGCCCGGCGTCTGCCATGGCCTTCTTCACGGGCACCATGGCCTTGCGGAAGAGGTCGGCGTTGAGCTCCTCGAAGCGGGCTCAGGTGAGTGGCTCCGACAGGTCGACACCGTCGGCTAGCGACTCGATCTCCACGTGGACCTGGAGCTGGGTGTTGAGCGCCCACTTGGCGCGCTCGCACTCGCGGCGGAGCTTCCCGAGCGCGCGCGCGTCGCCGAAGATGTCGACGCCGTGCTCCCGCTTGACGAGCCGGATGAAGTGGTCCATGACGCGCTTGACGCGTCTACAATATCAAATCAACATCAATATATCCTTCATGCAATACCTTCAGCCGACCGATCGTGCGCGACCGTCCGCCGGTACCGTGTCCGTTGGATCGTCTGTTCATCACACGAACGAGAGCAACCCGCTCCGCGCCCACGTTTTGCGCAACTAGGCTCTTGTTGCATTCCCTGGACCGCAACAAGTAGTCAGCGCACAAACCACCGCTTGAAGCCGCCATGGCCACCGCGGAGCACCAGTGTGGCCTCGTCGAGCGCCGCCGTCCCCAAGCCACACTACCACGCAGCCGAGGTACCCCACCGCCGCTCCCTCTCTTTCTCTCGTTCCACTTGCCGCGCCTTTGCATCTAGCCGCGCCACCCCTGCGAGGTCACCGGTACCGGCCCGAAGCTCCATGGAAGGGATCGGGCTCGCCCGTCTCTAGACTCCACCACCGCCGCCAAGCTATGCATGGCCGCCACCGCCCGGATCTGCTCGTCCCCAGCCCTTCTCCGCACCTCGTTGTTCCCTAGCTATAACATGTTGCCATGTCATCCCAACATGTATAGTAGTTAGCTATAAAAAAGTACTACATTATTACCATATGACCCATCTTACACTCTCACAAAGCTTCTTAGAGCATGTGCTACAACCTGCCGCAAATCTACAACCCGCTTGTCTTCTCTCTCCTCCAACTCAGTAAAAATATAATATTTAAAAAAATATAATATTTAAAGTCTTACAACCGCCTATGTCACCGTATTATACATGCTCTCAGTGTGAGAGAGGGGGGCTATAAGTCAGAGAGAGAGGGGTAAATTGCAGTTTGGCAGAAAAGCCCATGAAACTTCAAATCATCATAACATTTTCTGTTAATCCAAATTGAATGAATATTTTTGAAAAATGACACTTATAAAAAAATGTTTCTGCCAAAACAATAAAAATCCACTTTACAATATTTTAAAATTCAAATTCAAACAGAATCATTTCAAACTTAAATAGGGTTTAACTTGCAAACTATAAATTCAAATTAAATGATCATTTGCAGAATAATTATAGTGAAATATTTTTTAAATAAACCTACTGCAATTCAAATTTAAATAATTTAAAATAGAAATTCAAATAAAGTTCTACAATACTCAATTCAGAAAATTCAAAGTTAATTGAGGTTATAACTTGTTAATCTTAAACTAATTTAGATAATTCATTTTACTTTATATTTCAAAAACAAAATTCAAATTTAGGAAATAACGTATGACATAATAAAAAACTTTAGGAAATTCAAATCTAA